CAAGATATTCAACGATGGACCAGAAGTGTCCTTGAGGGGATCTCCGACCGTGTCACCAATTACAGCAGCTTTGTGAGCATCTGATCCCTTAGGCCCGAGTGTTCGAGCATGTTCTGAAGCACCAGCCTGCAGCAAGCAACCCGATTGGGGCAGAAAAATCAGTATCCACCACAATAGGTAATGATAAAACGACACCTTGAAGGGTTGATCGAGGCACATTATCTTACCTCTATGTACTTCTTGGCATTGTCCCATGCCCCTCCTGTGTTAGAAGCGGAGATGGCTACCTAAGAAAGGATAAGTATACATGATCATTTTTATATCACGCATAAATAGTACTGTTTCACAATGCAACTTTCAAAGACAGATATGGCTGGCTATTCAGGTAAGCGGTTCAGAATAACAAGTATACCTGAACACCAGAAACAAGGGAGCCAGCAAGCAGACCAGCCAGAGTTTCGACCCCGAATAAAGTACCAGCAATTAATGGTGTTAGCATAACAAGAGCACCTGGTGGTATCATTTCCTTGAGCGAAGCATCGGTTGAAATCTTTACACATGTTGCATAGTCTGGTTTTCTTGTTCCTTCTATGAGCCCAGGCATGGTGTCAAATTGTCGCCTGACCTCTTCGACCATTTTCAGTGCTGCACTTCCTACGCTCTTCATTGTCATTGCCGAGAACCAATAAGGAAGCATGGCCCCAACAATTAAGCCAATGAAGACTTTTGGAGTCAAGACATCAACAGTCTTGATACCAGCTCTGCTTACATAAGCACCGAAGAGAGCAAGAGAAACCAGAGCAGCTGATCCAATCGCAAAACCCTGAATGTACCAGAATAATTAAGCCTGTTTGAGAACTTCTCTCTTTAGGACATAAAAAGATCATCGCTTTTTAGTGACTTGTGAAGCTATGTGATTGGTGAATCTTCTGGGAAGAATTATCTTTTGACATATAAGTTAATGATTTTGCCCAAACTCAAAGGACTAGAAGGATGCCTTCAGAAGAACTTCCAGGATTTGAAAGCCATAGGCTAACTACTTAGTCACCCTAGTTATCTTCTCTCAGTTGAGTTACAGATCATGGATTAGTAATTTCTGGATTTCTCTTCGTGAGTTAGTTTGTTATATACTAATTTAACCACCCAATATTGCAAAAGTAGCTTTGGCAATCAGAAAGCCACTTATCATCTCTTGTATAACTGATTTACCAAACCATTTTGGCTACATTATAGTCCACATGTAAAAGTTACCATCCTTAATTTCCCCAGTTTCTACATAAACTGATGCTACCAAGTTTTTGGCTATCAGGAACTTGCCTTGCCAATTGCAGCTGTTGTGTTTCCGGCGGCATCCAGAGCATCTGTTCTTTCACGAATCCTGTGGCTCATTCCAGCCATTTCTGCTATACCACCAGCATTGTCACTTATTGGGCCATAAGCATCAATTGCAAGTCCAGTGGCGATAGTGCTGAGCATTCCCAAAGCTGACATTGCAATACCATACATTGCTGCCAAGCTGAAGCTTACATAAATAGCAATGGCTATGGCAAATATGGGAATGATAACAGACTTGTATCCCAGAGCTAACCCAAAGATTACATTTGTCGCTGCACCAGTTCTACAAGAATCTGCTACATCCTGCACCGGACTGCAAGATTTTACAGATACCGTTTATGTATACTTCAGAACTGATATATCCACAATTAAACATCATCTCTCTCTCTCAACAAAAGTGGGCAAAAAAGCAACTGATAAGAGTTCAAAGAGAATGCATATACTCTACGCATTAGGTTGTGAATAAATGTCAACCAAGAATTTATCTACTTAATGCTCAAGAGTGACTAGTAAAATATGGATGGAATCTATATCAAGTACCAGTTTCATGTTTATGGCGTCCACGTTTAGGATCTACCAAATAGGGTAATGAGGCCAATAAAAGTACTGAAAGCCATGTCCCAATTAACAGCACACACAGAAAGAAAGCCAAGGACAATTTAAGACAGCTTACCTGTAAGCATTGCTAGTATAATACTCAGTAACGTATCCAATCACCAAGCCAGCCCATAAGCCAATGGAAACGCAGAAAAAAAGATGCCTGTAAAGTGTACCCATTAGGATCATAAAACTGCATATACAAGATGGACGAGAAGAAGAGAGTACAAACATCAGGTCCCAGATGAATACCAGTTCTTCACAACTTTGTCAGCCCCAAAGTCGAACAAAGTGAACTTTGATGGTAAAACAAGGAAGCTTACTCCAGCTATCCCAACAGTCATAAGAACAGTTGAGATAAGAAGTTGCCTCTTCAAAGATGGTTCAATCTCACTGACAGTTTTAATCTCAACAACATCAGTTGCAATAACAGTTGTTATCAAGCAAACGATTATCCCCACAGAGCTAATAATTAGAGGATAAGACATCGCTGCATAGTCATGGTGTATACCAAAAGATGAAATTGAGGCAACAAAGAGTGCTGCACAGGATGATTCAGCATAAGATCCAAATAAGTCAGAACCCATTCCGGCAATGTCTCCAACATTATCGCCAACGTTGTCTGCAATAACCTGCAAAGAGATCACGCTTGTAATTTAAAATAGTTCCTTCTACATTGGCAGATTGACAATGGTACACATACTACTAGTGCTAGATGAATGAGATCCTCTAGGAAAAGCATAAAGAGAGAAGTTACAGCTGGGTTACGGGGATCATCTTCGGGTATATTCTTCTCAACTTTGCCAACTAGGTCAGCCCCAACATCTGCTGCTTTTGTATAGATTCCACCTCCAACTCTTCCAAAGAGTGCCATAGAAGACCCTCCAAGACCATAACCAGTGATCGATTCGTAGAGTCCCTCCCAATCATCCTCGTAATATAGTTTGAATAAGTTTATGGATACATAAAGCACCAAGAGGCCATTGGCTGCAAGCAGGAAACCCATCACTGCACCAGAACGGAAGGCTGTTATGAATGCCTTCCCAATTCCTTTCCTTGCCTCCAAAGTTGTCCTTGCATTGGCAAATGTAGCAATCTTCATTCCTAAGAAACCTGAGAGAACCGATGTCAGGGATCCAAGCCAGAAGGCAATTGTGCTGAAGATAGCATTGGCCAAAGCTGGCTTGCAGAGATTTCCTTCATTGTAAGTGCAGGGTTCACTTTTGGTGCTAAAGCCTTTAACTGATCCAAGGAATATGAAGATGATTACACCAAATACAAACATGAATATTCCAAGGTACTTGTACTCTGTGAACAGAAACGAAGTTGCACCTGCCAAAAATCATGTGGAGAGTAAGTTCCGAAAAAAAGATTGCAAATTTTCTACTACTTCAATGGCTTCAAATTAAAGAATTGCAATTTAAAGAACCTAGATAAAGGTATCCTTTGGAGATACACGACACGAATTTGTAATTCTGTTTTTCTTCAGACGTGGAGAGAGTTAGTGTATCTTGTTTCTGATTATGTTCATATTAAACTTCTGCAGAAATTTATCCTCGCCAATGATGTATCAAAGATGTATTCAAGTTTCTAAATGAAAATAGAAAGGGATCAAAAGTATGAAAACTTCAAACCAATTAGTTCAATGTTGTGTTTGAAGTCATAATAGATGACAATCCGTTTCTCCATATAAACATTGTGTTTGAAGTCACCATGAAGAATCGAAATCTTAATACATATTTTTGTAAAACTTTCTCAGGTATGTCATGCAACTCAAAATATGGTTAACCAGTTTAACCAGAATTACCTGCAGAAAGGATGAACGAGTAGTGTCTGTTTATATAAAGGGAACTAGAAACTACTGGAACTCCTGGAGAAGGTCATTAATGAAGGACAACCAGAAACACACCTAAAGTACTAGAAATCTGTCTAAGAATTTACGTCCATTTTCACAATAGATGGATCATCAAAGAAGATAAGAAGAAGATAAAAAGAAACACAGATACCCAACAGTGTGCACAGAAAGAAAAAGAGAGAGACACGGAGATGTCTTACCAACAGAAATAGCATTTTGAATCTCAGCACACTTCTTGTTAACAACCTCAGCCGAATCAATGCCTTCCACTTGTTCATCATCTTCTTCAATCAACTGATCCTCGTAACTGTCAGGACCGCTTGAAGCTACTCTTATCCTTGAAACGAGAAACCACTGGACTAAAGCAAACAAAATGCCTATCAAAGCACACACAGGAATCAGAGTCTGTGAAAAGGCCTCACTCATCAACCCCATTCCAGCAAACTCTATCCAATTCAACACCTTTAACTTCTTTGGATTACTACCTTCTATATAAACACATGTATCAAATAACTTCTTGGCGACCTGTTCCGGTTTTTTTTTGAATATATTTTTTATATCCCACAGAGTAAAGTCTCCTGAACCTGCTGAAAATGAAAATTTGATGCTACAAATGAAAACTATCTTTGATGGCTTTCACTGCGGGGTGCATGCGGAAATCCTTAACTTAGCTTGGTTGGATTGACCAAATGGACAAGTGGTTTAAGAATATCATTTACTATTCAAACTTCTAGAACAGCTACTTTGTACTTAAATTTCAAAAGGTTACATCTTGCAACCTCGTCAATGTTCTGTCCCCATTTTTGCTTCCTTGTTAAGTTTCAAACTTGCAAGCTACTGGACCAAGTAGAGGGAGCCAGAATTAAAATCAGTTCCCCATTGAAAAATTAGTCTAAGATCTCCTCCTACACGTTTTCTCCTTTCTAAATCATGATGACGTCCTGCAAATTTCTCATAACCATGTTGGATTGACCCATTATTGTATCTATCAAGCTTCGCCATTAGTCTTTTCCAAATACATCAGCAAAGGATACAAAATTCGAAAGTGGTTTGACTGATCTCCGTAGTTTACTCCGTGATAAAAAATTTTAAAAAAAAAGCCCACAATTTCCCTGTTTCCTGCGTAACCATACTATTATTTTGTCCTCGTACTAACGTCCTTGAATGTAGCTTTACTGATCCTGTCACCGTCCGACTAACCCAAACACCGCGATACATGCAAGAATATGTCATTTCCAGTGATCATAAGCATTTTTACAGGCAATAAATGTAACTGCACCATGACAGTCAAATTCCTTAAGAGGAGTAATAAAAATTTACGTCCCATGTCTACAGAGAAAGAGAGGAGTAGTGCATGCCTAAACATCCAGTCAACTTAACGACATGATTACATATGCAACAGGTTTGGTACGGAAATCCTGTTAGCTAAAAGGGTTTTAATTTTTAAGATAAGAGGAATATATTTTAGCAATTAAGGTGACAAAAGTCCAAAGTTGCCTCTTTTGAAGTGCTGATGCTTGATGTCCAAGGCGACTCTGTACTCTGTAGCTAGTAGCTACGCAGCAAGTTCCTTCAGGAAAGTCAATGGTCGAGATCTTCATTTGAAAGTTTCATCGTGAAAGGATATCAGAAAAAGTAAAAGAACTTTATTTGTATTCTTGGCAATGAATCTCCCCACCTTTGCTGCGTCTTGAATTCACATTTATACCTCTTTTAATTAATCATAGTTCATGGAAACCCACGTTCTGATCTGTATCCAAGATTGAAAATTTGATGCACATATGGGCGTCCCTGTGAAAATTTACATCAGTTCTGGAACATCAGACTGCTGTTGTTTAATCTGGCATAGAAGAACATGTAGCTAGTCAATTTTCATAACTGCTAACGATCACTCGAGAAATCCGAAATTCCTTATATATCATGGATAGTTTTACTTCACAGTACAGAAAGAAATAATTCAACTCATTTCAGATAAGAGAACCTAAAAGAGGAAAGAACAGAACTCCAGGACTTTAGAATCTTCAATTTCACATGGCTGCAAACAATCTGAATAGGCGGCTGGAAAACTACAAAGTGGAAATTAACGAGTTAATCATAAAATTCTATTACCTTAGGGCATTACTAAGATGCCACTCTCTGTGCTTCAGTACAAGTCTCATCAACTTTCGTAAACGAATAAAAAGGACGGACGGATAATAAATGGAAATGCAAAAACTATGGTTTGGACCAGATATTCAACACGAAATTCCGTACACTTAACTATAAATGTTGGCAAGTCTATTCACCTAACAAATACCTGGTCTTATTGAACCAGCCAAATCCTAGATTTTATATTTGCCCAACGAGCACCTCACCGTTTAGAGCAAAGAAAGAGGCTCTATGACATTTAATCACTCAAAGCAGAATCCTAAGTCCACCCAGCAACTTGGAAGTCAAAGACAAATTACTGGCTGTTTCTGGTCAAACACGATGAGTTTTGATCCAGGTTTCCAGGCATAAAGCACATATCCTAGTCACAGCTATCGTGAACTTCTAGCAGAAGAGGATCATGATTCTTTGCTGTTTCCTGTGTATGTTCCTCGCTGCAGTAATCCCTGAGATGCTCATTTTGAATTTAAAGATGATTACTTATACCTTAATTATGCACTAGTCCATCTGCTGCAATGTAGGAGCAATCTCATCTCCAAATCGCATGATTCTGCATCATATGAAGTTCCATATGTCAAAAATTCAATCGATAGGTGGATATTACTATACTTATTCATGCAGCTCAAAGCCAGTGGAGTAACTCTTGGAGACTTCCAATGCCCGTCATCCCAGGTATTATTATGAGTTGAACTAGATAAAAATATAGTGTGTTATTCATGTCCCTAATGTAGTAGTACATGTTAAATAAAAATTGCACAGATGATTATAAAGCTTCAGGTGGAAAAATTATCAAGCCTGAGCTGAGCTAACAGTTGATTAGGCTTGTACTGAATATTGTGTTTGAGTATGAGGGCGACCCAAATTCAATGTCTTAAACTCAACCAAGTAGGGATATGTTTGATAATCTCATGGTTAGTGTGACGTTTGATCGTTGTAGAAAGACAGGAGATAAATCAATAAGAAGAATTTCAAACTGCAGTCAAGCCTTGGCCAGGTCCACATACTCTCAGAACCAAATCAGTCTAGGAGAAAGAACTTTAACATGAACTCAAGCCCAAGCCATTCAATTGAAGCTGGTTTGCTTCTTGCTCTAACTAGTCTGAAGCAGCAACAGGCAAATTCAGCTAAGTGAGAAAAGTAACCCAATCAAACAACTAGACGGAGTGTTTACTGAGTACTCTTCAAACTGAGAAACTGAACACCACCCACTCTTCCTTGTAAACCAGTAAACTACCCAGTAAAACAAGGCTTGCAGTATCAATCAACGACTTCTTTAGATACTGGGGCATGATTAGGTAACAAAGTATGCTATATTGAGTATAGAAGCACTGATTTTTCCTGAAAAAGGTGCTATTTGACATTCAGTAATTATTGTTTTACTCGGTGAATTCTCAATTACTTTGGATAAGAAAGGCTAATTCAAAATTTATGTTGAACAGACAGAATAACACCCCAGGATAGCTCCAATTCTTTGGCGCCTCCCACCTCTTACAAGTATACATCCAGAACAGTAAGTCATTTTATGTAAACAAGATCAAGGCCAACATTCTCATTAAGTGAAGTCAACTGTCAGAATAAGGTTCCTCTAACTCTTGTACATTTCAACTCAAGGATGCCAAAATTTATAACCACAGAAAGAACAAAATCTTACCAATTAATAGAAAAAATTTAGATCCACTGACCAGTTCATAGGAAACCACTTAGCAGCTCTTTTCCTGCTTCTATTATGATACATTTTGTTAACAAGGAGTTTTTTTTCCTCTTTGGGAGAGGGGACAGGGTATCAGTTAGGTACATCTATATTCATTTTTATACCATATATCCTTGTTAGATAATTATTTAACCCAATATGTAGTCACCTTCTCATAGTCCTGAAGTCTTTGAGAATGAGCATCTTATTGTTAAGACCAGCTTGTAATATAGGTAGATAATGACAAGCTCCCATTCATCAAATTAACAGAGAAAGAGGTGACTTCTTTAAGTGTCTTACGCAGTGATGGGTAACTTCTATAACCTGACAATAATTTTATTGGAAGGCAGAGATATTCAAAAAAGCAATTGTTTTGAAAGTAGAAACATTCAAAAGTACATTGACCAGAAGATGCATGAGATTGATCAATACCATTTTGATGTTATCTTGCCGTTTAAAAATTTCTGTTGCACTAACAACAATCATATGGTTATGTTATTGTACAATTTATTAACAAAATATTGTCAGAATCAGAATTATGCAGCAACCAGATGCACAGGTAAAGTATTTTGCACAAAATCCAATTCTAGTGATTTCACCAAGAATATCCATCAGTTTCTAGTTAAAAAAGCAATAAGCACAAACCTTATATCATCGACTGCAATACACAGATGCAATAAGTTATCTCATTAAATAGCGCACCAAAACCTTCTGCGGCTTGTTAATAATGAATGTAAATCAGGACTAATGTGCTATTGTGGAACTGAACAGGAGTAGTATCTTGCTACATGATTCCTAGAACTTTGAAAGCTTTAGTTTGTCCACAATGGCTCAGACTCAAAAAATTGGCAAGCCCACGATGGTAGAGGTGCTTGAATTAACACATTTTCAGCAGTAACAGGATGCTCAAAGGACAAGCTCTCTGCGTGAAGCTCATGACCATCATATGTTCTTTCTTTCCACTCATAGGCACCTTCATATTTTACATCCCCTCTAATAGGCATTCCCAGGTACTGGCAGTGCAAGCGAATTTGATGTGTTCTTCCACTCTTGGGGTATGCTCTCACCAAAATCTCATCTTTCTTCAAGTTGCAATCAATTTCAGATTTCTGTTCAATAATCATAACTTCTGATATGTCTCTTCCTGATTCAGAAAACTCTTTAAATTGCCCTTGCTCATTTACTGATAACACTTCAAATAAGGTTTCCATATCCTTGACAATTGATCCGCCTGGTAGTGTCTTACCCACATCTGAAGCAGCATAAACACGCCAGGCTCCGTACCTTGATCGTCCATGACCGGACTTCATTGTGATATTTACCCATTTTGGAGCTTGACCAACACAGGAAGCTATGTATGTTTTCCTGACCTTGTGTTCTGTAAAAGCTTTTACAAGCTTGGCAGCCACTTTATGTGACTTGGTAATTATCATGATACCACTAGTGTCACGATCAAGTCTATTAGCTAGATGAAGCTCCGTCAGCTTCACTTCAGTTCCTGGAAATCAGATTACAGGAAACTTGACCTCAGATGATGATATCTAACCATCCTATCCAATTATAATACTTTTTTTTTAAAAAATTTTCTGAGCCCGATTGTAACACTAACTTCTTCACTATTTTGTTTCATTTGACAATTATCAGAATGCATCCAACATAATGGCAAAATCTAAAGAAAAATCAACATTGCAGTTGGATTTATTAGACTGTCCATCAAATAACGAATTCGGAGGTTGTAAAGCCAAAACTAACTTAGTTTCTGAAGTATAAATAATGACAACATCTAGAGAAAAATAAACATTGGATTTCTTAGAATGCCAATGAAATAAAGTATTCAGAGGTTATCAAGCCACGACTAATTTAGTTTTACTCTCATTCCAACCCTTAGTCAACCATCTTACCCTTTAATTTTGACTGTCAACCGAAGATTACTAAACTGTGAGAGCATTTACAAATCTGTAAGAGTAATTAAGCCCTCCTCCTCTTACCTTCCCCACTAGTCATCCAAATTCAAAAACCATGGAAAAGGCAAAATATTGTGCACATCTTCCATCTCTATTTCTCTCACACTGTCACACACCTAACTATCTTTTTTACTCATCCTGCTTTCAATTAAGCACTTAGCCCCCAACTTCACTTTTTTTTTCTTTTCGTTTCTTTCTAGATCCATTACTCGTTAATGCACATTCCATCAAATGTAAAGAAGAAGTTCAAGAGGTAAAGCAATTTGGTAGCAATATTCTCAACTCAAAGAATATGACAAAAGGATTAATTTTGTATATACTACGATATAAACAACTTCTTACATTGGCAGGGGTTGAATTCATCACACACGACAATCATTCCTACTTGGAATTTCTGTACACGTAGCATTGTATCTACGAACCCCATATAATCTAAACTTTTAATCAACGCTACTAAATTATGAAACTACAAACCCATTCAACAGCAACTGCAAAACAATAATACTAATATGAAATAAAATAAAAAGTCCAAATTTTTAGGAGCTGAATTATGCCCCTACTTTACCTGAGTCAGTGGAATCGGTGAGTAGGCTCGGGACAGCAGACAAGACATTCTCACAGTAAATCCCTTGAGGCTTGTTAATAGCAATGAGCCACTGGTCTTCAAAAAGCACATGATTTCTTGAAAGAGAAAAAAGGGACGATCTTGAAGAAGCAGTTAAGGCTCTGTTGAGCTCTATGTTCTTGGATATGGAGGGCAGTGGTGGGGACAGGGGTACCGGGTAATTTTGGAGACTTGTGGGGTCGTTTTTGACCTGGGAATCGATGGAATCCAAGTGGGTCTTGGTCGCCATTGAGAGGAAACGAAGGGGTTTGGAGAAGGACGCAGAGAGGAGATTGGCTGAAGGAAGGTGGCGGACCAAGGGCATTATGGTCATTTAGTAAATTGAAATGGAGGTTTTCCTTTATTCCTGGAATTGAAATTTTGGTAAATACACATTTACTTTTCTCCACTACTCCTCTGGCAAGCTTTTTATTTTCTTATTAGACTAGTAAATTATCTATACCATATATGAATGGAAAGGAGCTTTTGGTCTAAATCGTAAATAATAATTTGTTACTTTATATATTTTTAAAAATTATCTTAATATCTCATTTTGTCTCTCTCCTTGTAAGTTCTAATGAAGTATTTTTCTTAATGGAATTTAAACTATTTAGTAAATCTTAAATTTTTATTTAGAAACTACAAGTTATGGCTATTACCAAATAAGATTCTATCTAAACATTTTAATATTAAATCAATGGTGATAATATAAAAACTATTATTAAGAGTCTGTTCTCATTTGATTATTCATATTGATTTCAGATTTGATGTTAAATAATTAGTTTTTATGATGTCATTGTCTATCTTTTTAGATTTCAAATTTTCTAATAATAAAAAAGGTTAAAATTTAGAATTTATTCAAGGATGATTTTGATTTTTTTTATAACAAAACATATTTCATTAACGGATTGCTGGAAATCATCCAGCACGATTGATATACATCGTTGCCCTAATGGCAGATAAAACATACACTAAAATTGTAGATTTGCAATTTAACAGATACAAAAGATCTGAAAAATTAAGAACAGATTTAAAAAGTACCATCAATTTTAAAATCATCTTCTCATAGAATAAATCACTGCAGCCCACTCTATGCATGTAACAATCGTCAGATCTGTCAATCAACAGTTGTAATCTCCAATAAAGATAATGAGATCTGTCGACATAGACCCAAATATGAAATAAATTCAGATCTCCTAGATCTGAAGTAAATTCAAATTTAAATAACAAAACAATGAAAAATAACATAAAATCTCACTAGGAACCCAAGGAGAAATGGTTATCTCCCACTAAGAAAATTTAAGAGAAACTTTATTAGGAAAATAGCAAAAACGAAATCTATGGAAGGAAAAAAGGGAGACCAAGAAAATAATAATAACGAAACCTATGGTGATCTTTCTCCCGAAGAGGAAGGGATTTAGAGAAAAGAAGCAGTAAAAAGAAGTTGACTTGGATGGAATGATTCTGATTTAATCATTTTTCATCATTAGGTTTTCAAAAATCTGCAGAAAATGTCAACAAGTCTTGAATGTAACTTTTAGAATCTTGAAAGAATTGTTATACACCGAACTATTTGAGTTGGTCTTGCGTGTATAATTCTTTCCATTTTCTTATGGATTCATGCTTATCTGACACTTCCAATTGATATAATCAGAGACTAATTCCTGTTATTACCACTAAGTTATCCTTCTATGATTGTTTGTTTGCATTTGCAGACTGCATTTGCAAAATCCAAATTAATACAAACCTTACTACAATACAAAATCCAACTGTTCTTTGATCATTGCAACTTTTATTCTCCACAATAGGTATTAAAAATGTTAAACTTTTGTTTGTTTCAGAGAGCAAGGTTCTAGCGTCACTTGACACATTTCCTTGGAATATACGGTCTTACCATGACCAGAAAACACAAGCCAAAAGGAACTGATGATAAAATCAGAATTTGAGTAGTAATCGATCCCAATTTTGCACGTTAGGGTATTTGACAATCTAAAATCATTAAAAACGCAAAAGCCGCCAATGATAATGTTTTCATGCTACTTCCAAATAAATAGTACAAGTATTGTTTTCTCTAATGAAGGAAAATTACTTACTGCTGAAATGCCTTTCCAAAGTTAGAAGTATAACCAAATTTTATGCAAATTATGAGAAAATTGGATCATGACTAGAGCTGAAAAAGGAAGTAACTACTCGATACTCGAATCAAGCTCCCTTGAGTTTGATTTGCTAATTAATCAATTTAATCTTGAATGGTATTTTGTATTCGATAACTTTCAAATTGATAAAAAATTCGTTTAATTTCGATTTCATAACTAAACAAGTCAAAGTTGAATAAAATTTCAAACTCGTCAAAATAATCAAACAAGGTTTAATACTAGGGTATTTGATTTAATTAGACTTGCTTGCACTTCTAATCTTTACAAAGATAATGTAGGAAGATTTGATTGCAGTTATTAAATTTGTAATTAAGCTTGCCAACTGTATACCATGCCAAATGTCCATGGTTGTTCCTCTAAGTTAATCAAGTGTGAAATGGAAAGGATCATGTTAGGTGCCATCTTTCCTTCACGTAGCTTCCAACTTATCTTAAAAATTCATGCCAATTCTTGTCATTTTGTGCATGAACTCATCTCTCCTTTCACCATTCCACCGATAGCGATACCATTAATCTTGCTAATAAAATTGATAAAGACAAGCCGACACAGACGACCTAACCGATTATTCCTCCATAACAGCTCTTCCAAATGCAAAATGCCAACTTCTTTGGACGTTTTCCTCTACCATCTTGCCCTATTAAAAAGTTCTCTTGCCATCACTTATACCAAATCTACCTTCATTTTTAAGGTTTAGTCTTTAAGCAGTTCTTCTTGGACTTTGTCCCGAGGTCGCCGATTCTCCTCCCTGATACGTCATTTTGATTCTGTTAGGAGGCTGCAAAATCCTTAAACCAAAAGGCAAAATGACAAGGACTTCATCGTTTATATAGGCAAATATTCAACCCTTCAAAGCCCTCAAGCTTCATTGCTATACATCTGCTTGAAGGGTATTATTCTTGAGGTGTTTATAGCCATTCTTGCTCAGATGGGACGGCAAGATGGTGACCCTGCTGGAGCCATTGTTGGTCCTTCCATTGCTTTGCTACAAGAAAGATTCAAGAAGCTGGAAAGAATAAAGGAGAAGAGACAAATGAGTACGTTCTCATCAATATCAGAGGCCAAACGAATTATCGTCCCAACAAACTACAACAACGACAACAACAACTCCTTCTCTGAGGATCATCATCAAATGTTTCTTCCATCAAGACCAGCTGCGCCTTTTCATCAAGATCCACTTTCCTTGGGACTAAACTTGAACAACAAGCATGCAGATTATCGATCTCTCAAGAGCAGTGGTACTACTCGACCTTCATTTAGTGCCTTATGGTCTGCTCATGACAAAAGGGGTGTGAAAAGACCGCAAAAGCCTGACGTTTCTGATGTTGATACTACACTTCATCTGTAAATTTTTTTTTTAGGGGGTTGAATTTTGTGTATCTTTTTTTTTTTTTTATCCTGCTTAATTTGTCACTTTGAGGAGGTGGCAGAATAAAGGAATATTTGTTTGTAGTCATGTTTTCTTATATTGAACTATACACGTTCATACAGGTACTTATTCATGCATCAGAAACCTCGAGTATGTTTGGATTGAAGATTATGTTGAAAAGTTTTTTGGGGTATGATATTATAGAACTTTTTTATGATGTGATAAAAAAAATATATTGTAATAATTTTTCAAAAACTGAGGATTCTTTCAGTTATATATTTACGGCACAGATTATAAAACCAACAGTGATCTTTTTGCATGTTTTATTTGTTTATAAAAATCAAAAAAAAAGAAAAAGCCGTATGGAATCATGTTTACTTCTTCTTCTTCTTCTTCTTCTTTTTTTAAACTTTTTTACTGTAAGTGGAAGGTTTCAAAATCAGATCTTTGACTCACAATCTCTTCTCCTATATCATCTAGCCATCCCACCCAGGTTGAAACTTGAAAGCATATATATTGCATATATTTCTTTAAGCCAGAATGAAAAAAGAAGACAAAAAGGATAACTGGAGAGGTGACAACATGATATGGTTTCACCTAAAAAGTCAATTATAAAGAAACACAACTTGACACTTTTAAATCATTTTGTATTAACTCAATAAAACAGTATATGCAAGTGTTCAGTTATCAAGAAAGAAAAACAACAGAAGAGTGCATTATACCTAGATGGCACTCCTCATTTAGTTTGATTTTCTAAGTCACATAATCTAAAAATACAACTGAATTGAAAAAAGAAAATTTAATTGAAGTGTATCTTGTAATATTACTTTTTGTGATGCATTGCTCAAACTAATTGAAAATCACTTAACTTTGCCCGTTACTTCTGAATAAAAAGACTTTAGTACTCATGTGTGAAGCCTTTTGATTCAGAATTATACAGAAAACTTGTGGGCTTGAGACTGATTCCATCAAAGTGCCATACTTTGATGGTTTAGGGTAATATCCAAGTACAATGAATTATTAAATTTAGAAGACAAATTACGAATTAGTCAGATTTCAGGGAGCATCCTGCAACTCATCCTAGGAAAATATGGGGCTGAGTTTGACAGGACTGTCGTTAAACATACATTTTGGGAATTATATTCTAAATAATAGTTTAAGAAAAAAAATTATCTTCATCTTATATTTGTTACTATCTTCAACTGATATTGTAATTTCAGGCACTTTGTTTTTTGTGGAGAGTGGTTAGGAAATGTTTTAATAGTGTAAAGAAATGATATTTTTTTTTTAATGTTGAACCTTGAAATTTAAAGCATATTATCCTTATTCTCTCATTCTTTCTCTCTCTCTTCCTTGTACTACAAAATGTTGAACTTTCTAAAAAAACTCGGAGTGATGAAAATGAAAATTATTTGCTACGTAAAAAAATACGAATGTGAAAATGTTGTGCCTGTTGACTTGCTTGCAAAATTAAAATTTAAAATTGCTTAGTTCGTTGTTCCTAATTTTCAATTTTTTTTTGCCTCTCAACATTTTAACGTATACTAGTGAAAAATGCACATCCTATGTGTGTGTAAATTAAAAGAAAAATTTATAAGAAAAAATAATGAGCAATTATTAAAAGTTTTTATTAGGTTGTGTAATGCATTTTTTTATATTGTTAAATAAAGAAAAGAAAAAGGAAGTTATTGGCTGTTATTGAAGGTTTCTACAATTTAGTTTTCTAAGGATGGTAAACAAAGAAAAACAAAAAATGACAAAAAAGTTTACACCATACCATTTTCTCTCCCTGTATATACGGTAAGATTT